TTCGGGTTGAAATTCGCCCCCAAGAGCTGTATGGAACGATGCTTTCTCTCTCTCTCTCTCTCTCTCCTCTAAAGTCTCAAGAGTGACATACAATTTCGGGGTGACCGCGATTGATGAGGTTGTTACTTCCGCCAAGCAGAACTGGGTATGTGGTTGAGTAGGTAGGTATGGGTTGGAGGTCGGTTTGGGGGGTGGTGAAAGCACCGGAATACAGAAACGCTGGGCAGCTAAAGAGTTGCCTCGTTCAGGTCAAAGTGTCCGCGAACTTTAAGGTAGGTAGATTCCTGCCTGCTTCGGAGTACTAGGTAGGGAAAGCTCGAAAAGGCTTGGGGGGGACAACGCTGATGGTGGGAGCCTTGAGTTTGCAGGTAAGAATGACTGGCCACAGACCACTTGGACCTGCTCTTGGAATTCCGCTCGATGGACAGAAGCAAAGTGCTAAAGTAGGCAGCAACGCAGATGGGATGAGCAACGAGCCGATAACGACGAGTGGGATGGGAGGGCTGAAACAACCCAAGGAGGGCGATGAACAGTCAAGACCGAATGTTAGCTGGCACTGTGGTGATCACGCGAATGACGGGACATGTAGCACCTTTGCACATCCAACAGCAGCCATCGAGGTAAGCGGGGTAACTTGCCCATGGGCCTGACGAGTGACTCGGGCCACCAGCTTGGGGTTCCACGTCAAAAGGGAAGCAGTAGGTTGCCCTTTTCCCTCCTGATTAAAATCGTGACAAAGAGATAGGTTGATGAAATATGCTGAGCATCTGTCGCTTCGCGTTTCCGTTTGTCGGCGGCACGACATCCCTCGCCACACGATGCCTGACCGAAGTCTCGAGCTTTATTAAAGTGCTTTATCTTATCGCGGATGAAGCTAATGTGCCTGGACAGGTAGAGCGGGGCAGAGCCCCCCAGTCAAAGTCGGCAGAGGCAGGCAGGTGACCACTCTAAGACGGGTTCTAGGATGCATGTACAGTAGTACATGCCAGGCGGCCAGCGCCTGATATCGATTACTGTATCTTCTCACCAACATCCAGTTGTCCACCGGAGGCACGTGGCTCTTCCACCATGCTCTACGCTGTGTTTAAAGCGGCGGTGTCTGCACTTTCCCATGTTCTGTGCTGGCAAAGGTGTCCGCCCGGGCTGGCAGATGGATGCCCAATATGGTACACCCAATTGTCTAGCCCGACCATCTGGCGTGTCACATGGATCACGAAGCCGAGCCTACGGGGTTACTGGCATGTCCGGGTGCCTTGCAGCGCATCTAGCTCGACTGATCAATGTGTCGCGGCCCAGAGTGATCAGGATACTGTGCCTCCGCCGTGGCGGGTATCTCGCCTCTTTGCGACATCAGGAGACATGACAGTCCTCCATTCCTCGAGTTTGCGTCCATGGCGGGGGAAAAGCGCATCCTGCCCAAGGCGTACCTGTGCCCCACCTACCCGCGACCAAGAGCGCCAGGGATCAGCCCACCTCCGAATAGACAGCTCAGGGATGCTTTGTGGGCCCCTTCATGTGACTAGGGTGTCCCCGCTGCCCGTCAAGTGGTTGCATCATCGATGGCCCACGACCTTACGTTCTGACCTGACGTAGGTACCTAAGATGGAAAGGAAAGCGCCGTGCCGTGACCTGTACCTTCCGCCGAACCACCTGCTTGTGGAAGGGGAGGTCATGTCCCAAGTTAAGCGCAGCACTTCTGCTGTGCTGCCATTCTTTGATCATCCTGGCTGCTTGCCGCTTTAGCGGAATGCAGCTAGCTCAGACATCCATTCATTCTAGCTGCAAGTACCTCCTCGCTGCTCCAACCAGCCCGCCCGCAATTCTTTTACAGACCTAAGATCCATACACACGAATTTCTGACCTATTTCCAACATAAACCATCCTCGCAACACCACACGCATTCGGGATTTGCCACCAAACTGCCCAGAAACATCTTTTACTGTTTCTTCTCTGCTTCATTAACTCTGCATGCATATTCCCCGCGAAGCTCCCTCACCCTCATGGACTGCATACTGTACGAAGCGACATTGACCACCACATCTGCTCATCACTGGATCCTCGACTGCTTACCCAGTGCAAAGTTCAGCGCGCTTTGACAGTCGCCACCCGACCCTGCAACAGCGCTTCGCAGCGTCACGACAGCCTTTGAACAGCAGGCGCGTCTATCTCCGGGATAACACTCCTCCCTTCCCTTTCCAAACACAACACGCATACCGACATCATGCACGATCTTCGCCTCAAGGTCCTCCGAGAGAGCGGCAAGACCGTTTCCCGCAAGTCGCGCTCCCGCCCCGAGTCCACGCGTGGCTCCACTATGAACTCGCCCAGCGGCTCGCCGGGTCACTCGCAGTACAACTCGCCAGCCCACTCCCGCGCCGGCAGCCGCTACGCCTCCGAGGAAGAAGAAAGCGAAGAGGATTACGATGACTCCATGACCGCTAGCACCTTGTCTAATGGCTCCGAAGCCGTCTTTGACGAGAGCCAGGGCGCCGTATGGACTCAGATATTACAAGACCGTATCGTCGAGCTTCAGGATCGCAAACGCAGTAGCGTCAAGGGCCGGGAGACGGCATTGGTGTCATATCTGCACCTACTCAAACAACACTACGCAGATCGGCAGGTTGGGAGCTCCTCTCACGAGATCGTCACTGCGCTCATGAGGAGCGTCCGCTCTGGAGGCAGCACCCTCGAAAAGTCTCTTGCCCTGCAAGCCCTGCAGGTCACACTTTTGACTTCTCCCTCCGATTCCCTGTACGACGACATCTACCAACAGATCGAAACAGCCTGCGAAGACGATGAGAGTGCCGAAGTCAAGGCTGCCGCTATTCAGGCCATGGCGGTGACAGCCCTCTATGGAGGAGGTTCAGAAACAGCTGCAGAAGAACTTTTGGAGTTCCTCGTTGGCGTGGTAGAATCGGACGGGGAATCTGTCGGCGCAGGAGACAACGGTGACGTGGTCGTAGCCGCCCTGCAATCCTGGGCCTTTGTCGCCAGCCAGATTGACGACATCAGCGAGCTCGTCTCCGCGGCTATGGACGCCTTTGTCGAGCAGCTTGACAGCACAGACGTTGATGTCCAGACAAGCGCTGGCTTCAATATTGCCTTTATCTTTGAAGCAGCGCGCGATCACGAAGAGGAGACTGGCGAGGTCATGAATCTGCAGTACGACCCCAAACGCCTCATCAGCCGCATGGCCGAGGCATCAAAACCAGCCGCGAAAGGAACGTCAAGGAAAGATCGCAGACATCTCCGCAAAAACTTTGCTAGCATCGTGACTTCGCTGGAGCACGGCAAAGGGCCTGGGTACTCAACATCCGGCCGGCCGGCATCAAATCCGCATACAGGAGGGTCCAAGATCGAACATGACGGAGACGTACAAGAATTTGGATATCGAGAGAAACTTCGCGTCGGTGAGTCGATTGTACTGATCGACTCATGGTCACTTATGGCGCGGGTTGATACTGTCAGGAATATTGTGGGTGGGGGGTTCCCGACACATTTCAACGACAACCCAACCGTCGCAGACCTTTTGAACAACCCTGACACAGAGGAGATGCCGGCCAACGGTCTCATGCCACCAACGGAGAGGAGCAGTAAGAAGTATAGAAGATGAAGGGCGATGAGAGCTATGTTGGCAGGCATGCCATTTCATCATACCCCTGCCAAGCTGATTGTGGTGGTCGAGGCTTACCTAGCTCATCAATTGTCATTCATTTCCACAGTTCTACTAGAAACGAGCTGGGTCGAAATTTGGGGAAGAGGAGGAGGTTAAGGGCAACAGAGAGATACCACTCGCAGGAGGTTTCACCCCTGTTATTTCATCATATAATACGTCCACCTGTGTTCAGATCTTCGTGGCATTCGGTCAAACACCAATCACTGCTGGATTGTGCAACCCTGTAAGCGGCAACGTACCGCGACGACGCCAAGGCGCAGACACAAAGCGGGTAACTGCGTTTTTTGTACAAGGTGATGAGGCTTCGATAAGGCCACATTGCAAAGTAGTGCAGCAGATGCAAAGGGTGTTGGAAGCATTTCAGTAGGAACCCAAATGTCCAGCTCCCATGGATCCTTTGGGTCCTTGCAGGTTGTTACATCATGGTCCCTTCCCAAGGATTCTGCATGTGGTCTGTTGGCCGAGGTCATTGGTTGCGGCACACCAGGCAAAAGTTCAGGAACAGGCCGCGGGGGGTTGTTTGCGTCTGGTCAGAATCCTCTCACAGCAGTGAAGTCTGCGTTCTACATGGTAGCTTTTTCTGTAGAAGGACGCGATTCGCGCTGCGACCTTGTGCACGCAGGTTACTTGCTTGCCGCCACCAACCACAGAGGCTGCCCCCTTTGAGCTGCGACGACGTCCCACCCAGGTCTTGGGTAGGGAACCACCGCATGCGAGGCTCGAGTAAGGGGTGTTTCATGTTGGGATCTTGGGAATGGGTGGAATGTCACGCTGCGGTCCATGGGAGCGGGAGGGGCATTGGAATGTGTAGGGCAGAAAGAGGAGCTGATGGACATGTGGTGGAACATAGGGCCGGCAGTGGGAGGAATGTGAGGTTCCAGGGCTGGCGGGAGCGAGACGAGACCCTGGGGGGATGTCTCTGAGCCAGGTTGAACGTCAGGTCATCAAAGTGATTCTCGCATCCCGAAGAAAAAAGCAGCTGTGTCGGCGTCGGCACTTCCCGACAGTCGTGGGAAAGACACGCTCGGTTCGATGATCGCCGCCAGCGACGCCCTAGCCAAAGACCCGTGCCGCTCGAAAGCTCCTGTCCGAGTCCCACCTCACCTCAGCTGGAAAAGAGAAGGGGGTGCTTTCCTGGGGGGGTCTTTTTGCTCCCAGGTTTCCCTGTGGGAGATGGGAATTAAAATAAAAGTGGGATGATTGCAGCCCAAGCACAGCAAGCACAGACGGTGTTGCCCTTTCCGAGCAAAGACGAACACTGTCGCCATGGTTGGCCGGGTGAATGTGGGACACGGACGTTGGCAAGCCGGAAAAGGCGCATTCGTCTCACGCCACAGGTGACGAGTCGGCGAGTAGGAAGCAGCGCAAGTTTCGTGTGATGTCCATGATTGTGACGGCAGGTCGGGATAGGCAAACGGCAAGCAATGAGGCACCCCGAGGCACAGTCTCGCATGTGCTGGCAGCAAGGGGAAGAGACGGTGAGATGAACTGGAACAGATGGGAGCAGGTGAATAGGCGGCAGCTTGGGGGCAGAGGCGGCGGCGGCGGGCGATGGTGGGCAAGGGCCCAATAGAGAGCTTGGTCGATACTGGCAGGTGCTGGTGGAGCACACAGCCCGCTTCCTTAGCGACCTCCTACCCCCTGCTGAGCACTTCGATTGGCCGATGTGATCGGCAACGACAACTCATCAACCTAGCCCGATCCTGGACAGCTCCTGCTTGCCAGCCCTCTTTTTTTCGCTCTTCCTAGTGCCGGTACTGTATCTGGTAGCACCGACATAGGTGCCTCTAGTAGTTGGACTGTCCAAACCAAGGTCCAGGCGCAACAACGAAGCCGCCCTCCATCTCGTCGTCGCACAACAGTTGCACGCTGCCTCGCATGCCCTCAGCGTCATCATCGACTCCACCACCAGACATAGAGACACGGAGCGAAGGCACACTTCTGGCGTGCCGTTTGTTCCTCAAGAAACTCGTCTTGCGACTTGGAAGGAATCGGGATGCGACAGCAATCGAGGAACTCGTGGCTTTGAACCCCCTCCCCCCCAGCCCCGTTGATATTGGCAACCGCAAGTGGAGATCCCCCGACCTCCTCCCAAGCAACCGCCACCCAACCGTACAACCAACCTAGATTTCCTGCCCGCCACCTCCTGGCCGTCGTGGTCTTCAGGTCCAGCCAGTCTCATTCACTGTCGCGACCACACCTTCCTGACAGTAGCTAGTCGACCACCACCCCCAAAAGCCCAACAGACCGGACTACCAAGCGGGCACACCCTTCCACCTCCGAAGCCTCCTATCGACAAAGCGCAGCACAGCAGGCGTTCTTGGTTTTTTCTTTCAGTCTTTGTTCCCTTGTGGTTACTCTCCCCTTGCCAACAAGTCGTTACGGGCCTGTTCGTCGGAGCACTTTCCTATCTTCGAAGATACAATTGAACCGATTAATTCGACAACGACATCTTGCTTGTCTTGGCTTCGTTTGCGCCGTTGAGCAAGCGACCTGGGCCTACCTCCCTCCTGCCTCGATCTTGGTATCGAGATAGACTCGGCCCTGCCCAGACATCTTCTGCCACGGCAACGCCCAGCCAAGTCTTTGAATCCACCACTGATGGCTTGACCGTTGCCTCCAAAACAAGACCCGGTCCGCTACCCGCCTCCTCTTTTGCTACCCCACGGAGCAGAAAGACGAGAGATCAGGGGAAGGCGAAATCCACCTCGACAGAGGCACCCAATCTTCGCCGCCTGGCCAACCTCTTCTCCGCATACTTGGTCTTTGGCAAAGCACAATGGGTATTGGGTCCAAGAAGTTTCCCCCCCTGCCTGCCCCGACCGAGACCGACATTATCACCCCTACCGAATTAACCACGGCCGACGACATCGATCACGAAGACGACGGGCCCGCCGACGAGGCCTCTCACTTTTCTTTACCTGACGACGGCACTCCCATCACCATCAAGACCCGCGGTCACAAGCTTAACCGCTCTCAAACTTCCCTCCTCATCGAGTACTTCGAAGGCGGCAAAACCAGCCCGTCTGCCTCAGGAGTCGAGCGCAAGCCGAGCGTCCGTGTGCGTCTGACGCCGTCGAAGAAAAATAGAAACAACCACATTCAAATCACCGAAACGAAGAGCTCGCGGAAGACTTCCCTGACGCGCCGAGTCCCTTTACCGTCGACAGCTGACTCACATATCGCTACGGAAACGCTCGACGCTGAAGACCTCGACAGTATGCAATCGTATGCCTCGGCCACAGAAGAGTCGAATGTGTCGAGGAACCCTATCGACATAGAAATCGACAGGAGCGAACGACGACGACGTCCAGCGAGCCCGCTGATTCCCGCGGCTGACGCCAAGCAGTCCAGCTACATGACAACTAACATGTCCGACATTTCTGCCATCCCAACGGATAGTTTTCTTGATGGCTCCGGACCGACCAATCTTACGTACAGAGAAGTCGAGAAGCGACAAAGTAGAAGCCCGTCAAGCAGCAGAATCTCAGCCGCGGGCGGCGCCGGTGCCCTCGCTGGTTCAGCGCTTGCCGACAAATCGAGGAATAGCAAGAGCAGGAGCGAGACCCGCGACAGGATCGTGCTCCCAAAATCCACCGACAAGGTTCGGGACAAGGACCGTAAACAACGTTCCAGCAAAAGTCGTGCCAGCAGTCTGAGCGAGAAGCAAGTGGAGGGTACTCGCTCACCTCGGCGGCGATCTAGTCGAAGCCACGGTGATTCTCTCGTCTCCGCGACAGAGTCAAGCGTCGTGTCTTCGGCCCTAACGCCAAGCCATCGTTCAACAGACCAGCAATCCGTCCGTTCAGGAGCTTCCAAGTCCTCAATCAACAACCCGAAGCTCCTAGAGACGGTTGAGGACGCAATCCGCAGACTGATTCTTCCCGAGCTTAGTGCTTTGAAGCGGGAGCAGAGCAAGCGTGAGAGCCGCCATGGCTCGCTGACTTCAACAGCCACATCCGTCTCGCGAGAAGACCTCTCGAACGTCGACAGACGAAGATCTTCCGGACGCAGAGCCGACTCTCGAGCTCGAGATCGAAGAGACCGAGAGGCTCGCCACGATTATGTTGATAGCCCTTATGGGCTGGATGGAGAGTCAGTCGACGATCTATCGGTACACGAGTCCGTCGATGATCAGTCTCGGGTCACTCACAGCGATGCCCTCAAAACAGGAGCCATCGCTGGCACCGCTGCTGCCGGACTGGCCGCCGCCGCCGCTTTGAGCCCGAAATCTCCTGTGTCTGATGATAGGCGGCAGAGACGGCGCCGGCGGGCTGACGGTTCGGCTCGCAGTCGCAGCCTGGGCAGAGACAAGTACGCTGAAGAGTATGAGGAGGAGGAGGCACCAGCACCTCCCATGCCCCTGATGAGCGAAATCAACCCATCAGAGCTGACCCGCACCTCCATCTTGTCAGCAGAGACTGAGCACCCTCGTTCCGAGCTCGAGGAATATTCATCAGTCCAAGCGGTGACTCGAGGTGACATATCTGCTACGTCCTCTCCATCGCGATCTGCCGCTACCCTGCAGCAGACTCTCGGTACAAGACATGCCAACGTTTCAAGCGGTGACTTGAACGCTATTCCTCGTCAACGCATCGACGACTACCACGAGGACTACCAGAGTGAACGCAACATGCCTCCAACCCATTTCCGTGACGACTACAATGATGAAGAGTTTGAGACAAGCCGTGCAGGACCACGGCAGCTCGACTACGAGCAGCATGACGATGGAGCCGACTATTACAATACCCAGGACGTTCCGCCCCCGCTGAAGTACGTTCCGTACCAGCCGGAGCGGCGTGGCCTCAGCCCGATCTACAGCGTTTCCGGCTACACTGAAGGCGGCAGCGAAGCACCTGGCCAGCGAGATTCAAGGCTCACTAATGGCAGCCTGTCTCCGGACAAGTCTCCCCGTCACAGTAACGTTCTCAGCCGAGGGTTCGACGATCAATCTGTCGATGATCGCAGCATCCGAAGCTCTGGACAGGATTACCGGAGTACCATGTACACTGACGATGGCGATTACGACCGCGCAGACTCCAGCCAGGCTGTTCATGACGTTGGTGCGAAGCCCTACATTCAACATGCTCCCACCCAGTATGCCCCGGCTGGTGTTGAGTCCAACGTCGCCTCACTCGTCGACGGGTCGATGCTCGACCAGTCCGTCCTCACTGCTGGCTCTGCCCTCTCTGAGAATAACGAGTACGGAAAGCGCGACTCGACCATTTCTTACGACGCTCAGTCAGCCTCGCTCGGAGCTGCGCGAGGTTACAGCCCAGACAAGCTTTCCGTGAAGAGCCAGCGAGACCTCATCGAAGAACGCGAGGGCATCAGGACTCCGACTTCGAGCCGACATGGCCATTCCCAAGACTTCGCTGGCGAGTACGACCTGGATGAGTATGGCCATAAGGTGGCTCCCACAAGGTACCGCAACTCTGCATCTACGTCACGTCACTCGCCCACAGCCTCTGAGAAGGCCATTGCGCTTGGAGCAGTTGGTGCTGCCGCCGCAGCACTGAAAGCGGCCAAAGACCGATCGAAGCAGCCTACTGTGGAAGAGGTCCAGGAAGACTTTGTGCCCGAGGGCGTTTCCAGGAACAAGTCTTTCAAGGAAAGGACAATGGATGGGCGCGAGCTCGCCACCACCCCCGCTCACAGCATCGACAGACTGGATTATGATGATGAGCCCAAGATGGGTGCTAGTGCCATGCCCGGACTCCATGATCCTATGCCCGAAGCCGAGTATGTTGACGATGATCTCATTACCAACCCATCCCTCGTCCGCGAGGAGCTGAACCACACGCCTCGCGCTGAACAGCAGTGGGCCCCCGTCACGACACCTCGCCAAAGTGACGTGGCCGCCTATGACCAGTATGACGATGAAACCAGAGGCGATGGCCCAAGTCTTGGCCTGGCAACAGCCGCTGGCGCCGCTGCGATTGCAACAGCTGCTGCCATGGCACGCAATCGACAAGCCAGTCAAGAACCAGACGATGAGTGGCAACGCACCTCGACTGACCGGAAAAGAGATACACTGATCACAAACCCTTACGACGGCGCCAGCCCTGTGGTCAACCCTGATCTACTCAATGCTCGCGGCCTTGATCCCGATGGCTTTGGCGCAGGCTATCACACCGGGAGCCCCGCGGGACAGAAACATTTCGACGAAGGCTACATCTCCCAAGGGCCTATCCACTCACCCAGCATTCAACCCAAGGGCAAGGCCATGATGAGCTTCTCCGATGCTGGCGCTGAAGATCCATTCTACACTCCTGCCAAGGGGCACTCTCGTCACCTCAGTGGTATGTCTCAAGGCATGGGCTCACCAATTTACGATGCGGCTACGGGCGCAGGAATTGAGCGCATCGAGTCAAAGGACATTATCGCTCTGATGCAGCATCTCATGGTTCGCGATGCGCAGCGCAGTGCACGCGACACCGAGATCCTGGTGACACTGGTCCGGTCCGCTGCCGAGATGAGAAACTCCTTCGAAGAGATAAAGAAGGTCCTTGCGAACACCGAAGACGTCATCATCCAGGAAGTCCAGGAAAACACCGAGAATACGGTTAAGAATATCATCGGCGGCCCCCGACCTTTCCCTGGAAGCGCGCCCCGCTCTGTCAAGGGCTTCAGCGGCGCATCTCAAGACGGCACCGTGGACGAGACGACCAAGAAGAATAATCTGTTCCGCAGAGCATTCCTGAAGAGCTTTGGTGCCAAGGACACCAACGACCTCGGCCGCATCGAAGACATGCTGAACCAGTTGCTGGCTGAAGTGGACACCCTGAAGGCTCAGACGGCCCGCCCCTTGGCATCCAGCGGTCAGGGGCAATCCTTCGAAAACATCCGACCCGAAGTCGCGTATGAGCAGGACCGCGGTTATGAACCCGAAGGTCACGCCGGCACCTCGACAGCCAGTCATGCGAGCCAATCTGGACAGCTGTCTCTTCCTCAATCGCGTGGTCCTTCAACCAAACTTGGATACGAGCGTAAGTTCTCGGATCATCGTATCAGCACTGTCCCCGAGGACACGGAGGAGGATTATGAGCAAGAGACAGATTACAGACGCAACCACCAGGCCATGCTTAGTCCTCCGCACCAAGACGTCCAGCGGGGTGGCTCGGTGCCCCTCGCGACGCCCCCCCACCCGGGTTCCAACATGATGGCCTCGCTGAGTAACGAGAACACCCCTATAACCATCAAGGGCAAAAAGCACAAGTCTCGAGGTTCCTCTGGTTGGTTTCCCAAGATCTCGCGCTGGTCCGAGTCCACCGCGACAAGCGTGAGCAAGGCTTTCCGCGGGAGTGGCATGTCCAGCAAACGTGGGAACGACGACGAATACAGCCAACGACCACCATCCCGTTCAGGTTCTGACCTGGGTCAATATGACGATAGACGTCCGTTTGAGGAGGACCGTTACGACGAGGAACAGCTGCACAGCGGCTTCTCGCAGACCAACCTGCCCCAGTCTGTCAGCATGCCGCTCGATAACAGGGCCCCTCCGCCTGCCACATACATGACGCCAGAGGACCCCAAATACAAGGCGCACCGCAACTCACTCAACTTGCAACACCCGCAGCCCAGACAAGGCCAGACTGAGCGATTCCAGGCAGCCCTGGAGTCCCAGGCACACCAGTACGACACTCCAATGTCCCCCAGATCAACCGATTGGCACGGCTCCGTGACGAGCCTGAACCGATTCCCGCCCCAAACCAGCAACCGTTATAGTGGTGGTTCCGCCGCCACGGGGGCCACGGGCGCTGCTGGAGCTGCCGGTGCCGCGAGTGGTGAATCCTGGGGTTCTTCCCCAACCGGCCCCCCTCGTCCGCCCAAGGAGCCGATGGACGACGACGGCAGCCGGACTCCGACCAGAACCGATAGGGTTTCCAGGCTATCGAAGAACAGTCCTCAGCCATACAACAGCGTCGAAAGCGGCTACGGTACAGGTGCCGGCACGCATGCCAGTGGTTACAGCCCGAAACTCGAGAACCGCAACCTCAACGCGGCCCTGGGGGTGCCCACCAGGCGGCCAAGCGGGCCTCGAGCCATGACGCCTAAGAGCGCAGAGGAGGAAGAAGCTCGCGAGGAGCGGCGTCGCAAGAGGGGTAAGTCACAGTTCATCGCCACGACCAGAAAGTGAAGCTAACCGCCTCCAGCCACCTTTGGCACAGTCGTAAGCGATGAGACAGACACCTTTTAGAAGAGGGAGAAGACAAACTTACACAACCTACTCCGTCCTCTGCGACGATAAGTTTGGCTTGCACAAACACCCTACTCCCGATCTGGTCGAAGCTGCTGGCTAGCTTCGATGCACATCCTATTATTCTTTATAATTATGAGGCGAGACTGCGATTCTGCCAGGCATCAACTGAGGGCCAGCAGAGACCGACGGAGAAGAGCAGTTGAATGAGTGGAACCAGGAGAGAGAGAGCCAGCATACGGCTGCTGTAGTTTACGACGGCATGACCACGCAATTGACGACTTTGCGTTTTTGCAGCGATTACAACTGCATCTAGGGGAGTTGCTGCAGAGGCCAAACGGCCTGCAGGGTAGAGGAACAGAGCAGGGCATGGCATGGGTTTGACAGATTTGGACATTTCCAATATCTTCAAGAAGGGTTTGCGCGAGGCAACTAGTCGAGCTGATTTCGACAAGTGGATGGATGGACAGCTTATTTAGGGCATGGGCCCATTTCTAGGGGTGTATTCAATACCAGCGGCGGTTCGCCTCGCTCTGCAACCGTAATTGCTCATGATGCGTGATGTGCTTCTGATCTTGAGGCATAGTGTTGTTCCACAACCAAGGCAACGACCGTTGGATGCCAATATGTTTTCCCCCAGCAATTTCATCATTCAAGTGTTTTCGATCATCCCCAGCGACGGGTGTCGTATGAAGACCAACCAGTGAGCCCCTCGCTGCTTAACACCCTGCTAGACCCGTCACTATTACCGTCACCGCCACCACTTGATCTGACATCAGATAAGTAATTAGGTAGGTAGCACGTAGCTAAGCTACCTGGCCGCCTTACCAGCAACCAGTAGCTCACCGTGGACGGCCAGCGGCATGACGGACCATCACGCGGTGTCTCTAGCGGTGGGGCCGGGCCTGTTTCTCTTACTCTACAATTACCCCATCGTTTGGGTTTCCGTACCGCTAACCCCAACTCTGCTCTGCCTTCGCTCTCTCCCCTCCCCCCTCGAAGGAAGCAGCTCATTATTGCGATGATCAGTTGCGGCATGGGCCCTGGGAGCGGTAAAAATGAACACTAAATGGCGTGTATTTGATTCGTCCGGCGGGGTTCAGGCTGCTCTCGAAGTGTGTTTGATCGCATTTGGACGCAAATGTCGGTACGGCGGCCGAGGTGGAGAGAGGATGTCTATATCTGGTAGGGGCTCCCACCGAGTTGCTCGACGTACGGGCTGTAGTTCATTACCTCTTTTGCGGACCAGTTCATACCAATCATCTTCCAGGCGAGGATCAACGTGAAAGAACGGTTGATTTGCATTGGGGCTTTTCTTGAGGGTTCTTCTCTCTTCGCTCTTCACCTCAACGCAGTTGAGAGCCACGGACTCGACAGGCGATTCCAGTCCCTCTACCCAAAAACAAAGCATCTCGACATCGCAAGGGTCGGCCGCACAAAGAAGGAGAAAGGAGGCGAGAAAATTTCAATCGATCATGGCGACGACATCCTCCAACCTCCTCGTGACAACCCCGCGCCCGACCGCCGCGCCCAACACGCGCATCCACACCGGCCGCGGCGGCGCCGGAAACACCTTCCGCGCCGCGCCCTCGAAAACGTCCTCCTCCTCCCCCGTTTCCGGCTCCGCCGCTGCCTCTGCCTCTGCCCCGGCAGCTGCTTCGTCAGCGGGACCGTCGACGGCCCGGACGGCAGGCCCCTCGAGCTCGACGCGGCGGTTCTACTCGGGCATCGGCGGCGCAGGCAACGTGCACGCGGCGGGGGAGAGGCCGGCCGTCAGCTTCGAGGAGGAGATTGCCAGGGCGCGGGCGCGCGAAAAGTCGGGCGTCGGACGCGTGGGCATCGGAGGTGCTGGCAACATTTTCCGTCGGAAGAAGAAGGAGGAGGAGCAGCAGCAGGGCCACGGGGACCAAGCGTCGCGCATCGAAGGGGAGCGGAAGGGAAGTCTCTGGTCTCTGGGAAGCTGGGAGAGCGTCATCAAAGAGCAAAAGGCGTGATGTGACCATGTCGGGCCGGATACTGGGCCATGGCGTGTTTTCCCACCCTTCGAATCTCGGGGGTTTTCACTTTCTTGGCAAGGATAAAGGGCGCAAATGGGGCGAGGCGTTGAGTGTTGAACGTTGGGAATACGGGCATGGGACGTTCATTTATTTGACCTACTTCTAGGTACCTTGGGCACATGAAGAGGGATATGATCGGATCATCGTGATCAGAAGCATACGCTGGCAAGCATACTCTATCTTTGATACCAAAACATAATGCAGTGAAGGGCTCAGGGAATCATTATGCCTTGGGCACGCTCTTCTTGCTGGGCTTGGTGAACTTCCACCTTGAGCGTCGTACAAGCCAGGGTGTCAGGAGCATAAGGAGGACTTGAATGGCGGCGACCTGGAAATACAACCAGGTCCAGCGCCTCAAGCCAGTGACAGTTGTCTTGACCGCCACCGGCGGGTTGCTCTCGGTGCCAGGCGAGGCCTGCTGCTCAGCCGCATTGCTCCCAGTCTCGGGACCCTCAGCAGCAGCCTCCTCCCACCGCTTCAGGACGTCCAGATACGCAGCAGGATCGTCCGTCACGACGCCGTCCATGCCTTTCTCGATCGACCACTCCATCCACTCGACCTGATTCACCGTCCACACGTACAAGCGGCGCTCCTCGGCATCAGGGGCCGCCCTGACACGTTGTATGAAGCGCTTGCCATAAGGACCTACGAGCGTCGGCTGAAGCATGTTGAACGACAGGCCGGCATACTCGGGGCAATCGAGGAAGCGGTTCGAGTTGTAGGGCGAGTGGGAGATGTGGGCGGGCGAGTAGGACGGGAGATGGCGCAGCGAGGCGTGGAGGAAGTCCTGCGTCCAACAGCCGACGACGATGCGCTGGTCCCAGGCCAGGCCATCCGATCTCGGCACGGCGTCGACAGCGTCAACCACGGCGCTCAGCAGGGCATCCGGGTCGTCGTCGACCTTGACATCCAGCAGGATCCAAATCTTATCGCGACCAGGCTCGGCGAGGTAGCGCAACAGGTCAACGAGGCGGGGCATGGGTTCGTGAGGAGCGCGCAGGCTGCGCAGGGTGGCCAGGTAGGACCAAGGGCAGGCGCTGACGGGCTTGTCAACGCCGAAGCAGCGCTTTAGGTTGCCGTCGTGGGAGAGGACGACCTCATGGTCGGCCGAGAGGTGAATGTCCGTCTCAATGGCGTGCGTGCCGACACTGACGGCAGCGCGGAAGGCGGCCATGGAGTTCTCGGGGTAGCGAGACTTGTAGCCACGGTGAGCAATGGCTTGCGGCAGGCGGCGTGCCGGGTCCCTGGCGGATGGCAGCGCTTTGGACCATGGCGCTGAATAGGTTTGGCGCATCAGCAAGATTACTCAATTCGTTTCCCTTGTTCCCTTGTGCTTCATCGGGGATGCAGAGCCTGCGAGACGGAGTGAGGAGGTTGAAGCCCACCTGACGGAATATGAGGTTGGTTGGAGCCAAGGAGGGGTGCTGTCTCGGTGAGTGCCATGGTGGAGAGTGCTGAGGGGGTGGGATGATGGCGGACGGAAGGCGCGGAGGGAGGTGGACAACGCTTCAAGCAACGAAAGAAGACAGATTCAAGGCGCGAATGGAGACATGTTCTGGTCGTCGCCATGTGATGAAGGGCGGGAGCATGGTGTCATGTAGGAAGCAGCGTGGAAGAAGCATCTCGGGCATAACGACGTTATGGCGACGGCGACGGCGACGGCGGCATCCCCACTGGGGCAGGCGTGATGCGTGATGCGGGACAGGAAGGCGATGCCCAGCCGTACTTGGCACTTTCCTTAGGTACTTGGGTACCTACCTAGGTAGGTAAGGTAGGCGGAGCAGTGCGAGTGCGATGAGATCATGTGAAGCGGGCGGCGGCAGGCAGCACCAGTTGCCAGGGTGGGTATAGGTTGTTGCTTCCCCATTGCCAGGCGCCCAGCGGTGCCTGCTGCACGTACCTGGTAGGTACTTGTAGGTAGCTTGGGTAGGTACCTAGGTACGCACCTATAAGCAGCTTCTCTGTCCATCAACTCACTTCTTCACATCTAGCCATCTCTCAAAAAGACCATCCATGCATCCAGGACACTTCGGCTTCCCAAGCATCAAACCCACGAGCACGGCGCGCTCCATCCCTATTAAGGGCATCTCAAAACCCTGATTCTCCACGATACGATCCCGCCCATGCTACCTCAGATCCAACAAGCCAGGGGGTGGCGGCAACCTGTTCCCCGAGTCAGCACCATCATGGGGATTCCCGGCAATCGACAAAGGCCCGACACACGCTACAGGCAACCGTTGAGAGCCAAGTGGGGATGAAAATCAATTTCTGGTTCAGGGGTTTTAGTCCAGTCGGTCGTCTTTGACAGGCGTGCGCCAAAGTCCCTGATCCAACGTGCCGCATCTTGACCAAACCACGATCGACTGTAGAACGTCCTCCACGTCCTGGCCAATACTTGCAGCTACAGTTCCGGCCTGCTCAACGTTCCGCCAATGCGTAGCTCCGCCCTCGGTCGCCCAAAGTCCTGAACGGCAAAGGGCCACTGCCATGCTCACACATCGCCTCGGCCTCTTGAGCCTTCTGGTCTCATCCGTCTCGGCGTCCTACGTCCAGTATCAGCTTTGTGACCCGGCTTCTTCTCGCGTGCCGGTGCCGCCGCCGCAGCAGCAGCTACCGGGCATCTCCAGCCTGAGTGCGAGCATTGAGACCGCCGATGACGGTCACCAGCATCTCGCCTGGGTCATTGACCTACTAATTGGCGACGAGCACCACTGCGATCGCCAGGTTTCAAATGTGACCGTCGACTTTACTGTCGAAACTCTCACAGGCACAGCCCGCTACGAACATCATGTGCTTACCACATGCAAACCGGTTCATCAGGGGCGCTACACAATGGTCAATGCATCTAGCACCTTGGTCACCCAAGACCTGGGCCGCCTGAGCCCGCTGTCGACCTTCCATTCGGATATCTACCTGGCCTCTGCTGCGACTGGCGACGGCTTGGTCTGCCTCCAGGCAAACATCACACCTGCCTTGCGCCCTACCGTATCATCGACACTGCGCTGGGCTCCTTTTGGCCTCTTCCTCTTCATCCTCGCCGTCGGCATCCTACGCAGCTGTTTTGATAGGCCCATCCGCCTCACAGCAGATGACGAATCAGATGAAGAGGCTCGCTCGGCTCGTCCTGTCCTGCCACATGTAGGCGACTGTCTGCAGTACCTCCAATTCATCTTCTTGACCGGCAGCCTCAGTCTTTGGTATCCCGGATTCTACCGCCCAGCCGTCAGCATGCTGAACTGGTACTCTCTGTTCCTCACAGGCCCCATCACACACGGTCATGTTTATCCTGGCAGCGCCGACGGTATCTTCGAGATCAACGGTACCTACGTAGGCACGCACGGCTTCGATCTGATGCACCAGATCGTAGGCACCCCTGCCACCATGACCACCTGGACAAACTTGGTCATCGCCATGGTCGTTGTTGTTGCCTCGGCTGCTGCGTTACTTGAGTGCACTCGCCTAGCTGCGCCTCGGATTGGCGAGACCGACATGGCGGCGCAGGCAATCGTCATGAACCATGGTTTTCAACACAGAGTCAACCGCGTTCTCCGCGTTGTTCTTTCATACTTCACCATGCCTCTCATAGCCCTTTCATGCTACCAGATCACCTACGCCGCCCTGCTGCCTGGCTATCACACATCGCTGGCCGTTCTGTTGATTGTCATCATTATCGCTGCGTTTGCCTGGCTTGTACGCCAGATTCCCGCGCGAAGCCTCGGTCTTCTGGTTTTCGACTCCAAGCGGTACCAGCAAGTATCTGCGTCCACGTCGAGCGACCAGCACGGAAAAGCCTTCATCGTGGTCCTTTTTGTTCTGGCCTTCATCCGCGGCGCTGCCGTGGGCGGTCTGCAGATTACCCCTCTGGTCCAGTTGCCTATGCTTATTGCCTGCGAGTTGGTGCTTCTCGCTTGTATCTTGGGCTTCCAAGCGTATCCAGCCTGGTCAGTCGGCACAATATCTGCCCTTTCCAGAGTCGTCACGTTGGCTCTCATGGTCGCCTTCGTGCCTGGGGTCGCCGACATTCATGTCAAGAGCGCAATTGGATACGCTATTCTGCTCATACATAGCACGATGCTGTTCTGTGGCTTCCTAGGACCGGCTGTCTATCATTTGGTCGTTCTATGCGCCAGGCACCTTAACGCGTCGAGACCAGAGGTGAGACATCAACCCTTTTTGCCAAAATCGCGACTCAAATCAATGAACTCACAGCCAGTCAGGTATACGGCCTCCGCGAACTGCGGCGACGTCAAGTTTCACGGACAGACCTCAACCGGGCTTATGTCGACTCGCCCAGCCCGGCCGGTCCCGATGCCAACATAAGCGGTGCCCGGACACCTCTTTCCAATAGAACGTTGGGCCGACCGACAAGCACCAATACGCAGCGCCTCGAGACACCGCAGATGCCTGCGAGCCACTACTTTCGCTCGCCGCGTCCTTCTTCAGTCCGCAGTAAAGACTCCGTAGACCTTCGTTCCAAGGTCGGGAGTACGACGCAGACCGTATCTTCCAGCTCGTCCCGCGGGCCACCAAGGGCCATCTCGCCACTGGTCAATACCTCTGTCACATTTGGCGCTATTGTGGAACCGAAGAACGAGTATGACACAGTTTCAACACTTCGAAGCTCGGAGTCTTCGAGCTCATCCTCTTTTAGTGCGGATGGCTCGCCGTCATCGAGGGGTGAAAGCCAGGGCAGACCGCTGGGGCCGAGGTGGAACGACTACTCGTTCCGAGAATCAGATCTCTATTACATGGTCCCGCAACCAGGAGCGCCACAGGCGGCGATTGCAACCGAACAACTGACCGAGTCGGCAGTAGTCCTTCCTACGATACGATCCGTGTCGTCCAGCTTCTGGACGAAATTAACAGGCCAAGGAGCACCGCCAACGGCAGAGGAAAGGGGGTTCAAGGTGGTACGGCCGAACAATGGATTGCAGCGG